TGCTCACACCATCCTTTCAAACTTCACTAAGGCCCTGAGGTCTGAGGCCAAATTCTGGGAATCTATTTCTGAGGTATACTGCCTATGAAAACCCTTTAAAAAATGTGTGAGTGATGGGAAGGTTATCATTAGGATACCTATTTCTGTTATTATAAAACCTACCAGAAAGGCCCCAGTAAAAATCTCCAGAGGTAGAGCTATGGTTTGGAATCCTCCTTAATTGCACAGTGCAGTTCCTTACACAGTATAATACCCCCACTCACACAGCCCAGTGTGCTTATAAAACTTGGTTTGCATGTGGGAGCTTGATTATTATAAGAAACACATTTCAGGGCATTCCACTCCTTGCTAACTCTTATCTTAGACTCTAACCTCCTCAATCTGTCTGCATGAACGTGTTGTTAAATACTCTGTCAACAACTGTTCCAAGCTGTGTTCGCTGTATTTTCTTATTTTCGGTATTATTCATCTCTGGTATGTGGTGTGCTGGACCCAGGGTGTGGCCCCTCCCAGGGTAAACGAATTCCTGGAGATAACCTACCTGCCTGTCTTTGATATGCCTCCTGTGATGAAAGCACATCCACCCCATTAGCAGGCTTCCAACCTCGTGCTTTTAAATCGCTAATCCTTTTGTTTCATTAAGGAGCCTTTGACCATTTCTTGGGCTTGGCTTGCGTCACAAACCCAAGACTCAGCCGTGAGTCTCTTGACCTTGGACAAGTGATTGGGACATTTTTTTCCTTTCTTTCTTTTAGTGCTGGAGACCAAACTCCCAGGACCTCATGAATTCTTGGCAGGCCCTCTACTTCTGAGCAGTACAGAAGACAACTTTCTGGTCCCCTCATCACTCGTCTAGGGAAAAGGAGGGGAGAAACTGGGATTTCATCTTTGATTTTTTTTGTTCCACTGAATGGATCCCTCCATTTATCAGGCAGAATGTCAGCGGTCCATTACCGGCGAAACACTAACCCACCATGAAGGGGAGACTGATACCGGCTCTCCGTCCTTTACTCAGCTTCCTGTAGAACTCTACATTTTATTACTGGGGACTGGGGTGCACATGTGTCACACACACGGAGGGCAGAGAATAACTGCAGGGAGCCTGCTCTCCGTTTCCACCGAGTGGGTTCCAGGGATCACTAGTTTTCCATTCACATTAGTCAGAATCCGTCAGGAAACACTAGGTTCACACAAAGGATTTGTTTTGAGATGGTTGAATGACTTTTTTTCAGAGGCGCAAACAGACAGAAGGCATCCCAGCAAGGCAGATGAGAACCAGGTACAAACAACTGCAGGAACTCAAAGCCTACGGAGGCAAGGCGGCATGGCAGTGCAGTCCGTCTCCCGTGAGAACCATATGGAAGAGAGCACATCAGAAAGTTCCAACAGAAAGGAAAACGAACAGACAAGGAGACACACTGGGACTAATAGGTCCTTCCTACCCTTAACCTGTCAGCAGCATCCATCCACCAAACACAACTAGAAGCCATAAGACGAGGAAAGCTTAGACCAGCATTTCTCCGCCTGTGGGTCACAACCCCTTTGGGGATTGATGACCCTTTCACAGCATGGGCCAAAGACCATCAGAAAACACAGATATTTACATGATGATTCACAATGTTAGCAAAGGCCCAGCTATGAAATAGCAATTAAAATAACTTTATGGTTGAGGGTCACCACAACTTAAGGAACTGTGTTAAAGGGTGGCAGCATTAGGAAGGTTGAGAACTTCTCAACCTGGACATAGGCGAGGCCAAAGGTAGAGAATGGAGGAGCAAATAGGCCGCCCAACACAATCAACATATGGAAATGTAACAATATGGTCTACTTATGCTGAAAGTAAACCACCATGTTTAACTTTTTTTGGGTTGAGAATAATGGGCTTATTTTTTTATAATAATTTATTTGTCCCTATTTTTGGTACTTTGGTATTTTGCCTACTTGTATGTCTGTGTGAGGATGTCAGATTCTGGGGTTACAGAGAGTGGTTAGTTGCCATGTAGGTGCTGAGAATTGAACCCAGGTCCTCTGGGAGAGCTGTCAGTGCTCTTCACTGCTGGGCCATCTCTCCAGCCCTGAGAATAATGGACTTCTTTGAGGGGGGATGGCCTTCTCTATGGTGTGAATATATGTTTCTCTTATTGGTTGATAAATAAATGCTGATTGGCCAGCAGCCAGGCAGGAAGTATAGGTGGGGCTACCAGACTAGGAGGATTCTGGGAAGAAGGCAAAGAAGAGTCGGAAGGGAGACGGCATATAGCTGCCAAAGAAGTAACATGCTGGAGCATTGTTATGGCAATACGTAAGTTTAATAGAAATGGTTAATATTGAAGAGAGAGCCAGCTTGAGCCCCTGCCCAAACAGTTTATAGTTAATATAAATCTCAGTGTGTTTATTTGGGACTAAACGGCTGTGGGACAGGGCAGGACAGAAACTCTGTCTACACTTGGTACACGTAAGAAGAAAGGTGTCCCCATGCCTGCCCCTACTGCAACTCTGCTCTGTGCCTGGGGGAGCTGACCTGTAAGAGATACATCACAGCCCTGGGATGTCTGCTTAGGTTCTGCTTAGCCACCAGAGGACCTCTCCAGGAGATGGGCAGGGAGGGTAAAGGTGGACTAGTTACCTCCCCGCTGGTTTTCTCCTTCGAAGGCCCTGCAAGCTGGCTGCACCTCTCACACAATGTTGCCCTCCCCAGTTTTCTCTCCGGACTCCGGTAACCCTCTTTGCTATCTCCTTGGGACAGTATGAACCCCATGAAGTTTCCCATGTCCTGCTCACAAACGTAGACAGTCCTGTTCATTACCAAATTGCTCATTTTGAGTATGTGGTCCATTCTCTGTCAAGACCCTAGAGACACATTCATTGTCTAACAAACATTTGTCAAGTAACTCCTACATGCCAAAGAAGATGAAAGGGCCGTCTGGAGAGTGGAGACTGCCATGGGGCATTATATCACATCTTTGTAAGCGGTGTGGGCACCGAATGGGGATGTGGTTGGGAGTAATATAGTTTGGGGCCTAGAAGGACTGCAGGGATTCTGGAAGAGGTGGATGTCTGGTAAATGTAGAGGAAAAGAGATCAATAGGCAGCTCAGGGGCAGTCAGGCGGTGGTAAGTGACAAGAATGTGGGCTAGGCCGAGACAGATCACAGGAAGCCTTGAACTGTGGATGTAGCTCCCTTCCTTCCATTTGCTTAATGTCGTGGGTACAGACCAGAGCCTCACACTTGTATCCATTAATCCAGCCTTATTACCAGGGCATTGACACTCCACTTCCTTGGCCTAAAACCTTTATTAAAAAAAAACCATACAATATTTTAGGAGCAGAGAGTTGGCTCAGCTGTTTATCACATTGGCTGTTTTTCCAGAGGACCAGGCTTCAGTTCCCAGCACCCACATGGAGGTTTACAACTCTGCAACTACAATCCAAGGAAATCCTGTGCACTCGGTGGGAATTGCATGTGGTACACAGACCAACACAGGCAAAACTCTCAATATAAAAATAAATCCAAATAAGCAAGCTTTCAAATAATTTTTGTATTTTCTTACTATTTTAAAATTACTGTTAAGCATCTGTTTGGTGTGTGCATGTGTGTGTGTGTGCATGTGTGTGTGTGCGTGCGTACGTGTGTGTGTGTGTGTGTGTGTGTGTGTGTGTGTGTGTGTTCTTCCAGCAGCACAGCATGGATGTAGAGGTCAGAGGACAGCTTGCAGAGCAGGTTTTCTCCTTTTTACCCTGTAGGTTCCAGGGATCACACTCAGGTCATCAGGCTTGGTGACAAGTGCTTTTACCCACCCACCAAGCATTCTCACTGGCTCCTAAAACCTTTCTCTGGAAAACCATTTCTTGATGTGCAACCCCCCCTCACCACACACACATACTTTTTCCTGTACTCCCCCCCATACTATATTTCCTGCAGGCTCTCCAGGGACTAGAATGTCCAACTGCACTTCAGAAGCCTCGGTACCCAGAACCCTTTTCTTCTGAGAGCAGTGCATAATGCTGACATTGCTCTTGGCCCACCTGGAAGGGCAGGATGCCAGCACCTCCTTCTTCATCAAGGTAAGTCACAAGGGGAGGTTTAAGGTTTGGGCAGGCGGACATCTTTTACATCCATTTTACCACTCTAGGCAAGTTCAGGGCAGCAGCTACCTGTGCAGGTTGCAGGTGGTTTATTTTCTGTTGCTGTTGGTTCTCTCTCTCTCTCTCTCTCTCTCTCTCTCTCTCTCTCTCTCTCTCTCTCTCTCTCTCTCTCTCTCTCTGTCTGTCTCTCTCTCTCTGTCACTATTGTCCTTACTATTGAGATCTACTCGTAGTATGTATCTCAGGCTGGCTTCAAACCCTCCTTGTAACTGGGGATGATAGGAAACTTCTGATCCTCCTGCCTCTACTTTCCCAGTGGTGAAATTACAGGTGTGCACTGCCACAGCGGTTTCCTTGCCCCCCCCCCAAGGGTCTCAGAGCTGTTCCCAGGTCTTCGTGCATGCTAGGCGAACTTTGGGCCCTCTCTTTTCTCCCTTCTCTGTTTTGATTTTGACGCAGGGTCTCTGTCGCCAGGCTGGTCTGGGACTCACTATGTAGCCTAGAATGGTTTACATCTGTGGCTAGTCTCCTGCCCCAGCCTTCTGAGGGATGGCGGAGTGCGAGCACCACTGCCAGTCTCGGCTCTACCGGTGCTTCTTTACTAGGTAAGGCCAAGTTCCCTGCTACCCACACCTGCTACCCCAGTTCTTTCTCTCCATCCTCCGGGAGCAAGGAATTTTTCTTAACTAAAACCATAGGCATTAACCGCATCCAATGGATCTGTGCCTCTCTGGTAACAAGAGCAGGTGCCACTGCCGGTCCCACGAATAAGGGATCCAGGCGGGAAGGGTTCAAAGAGAGTTGTAAGGTTTGTGCTCCCCGGCGCTCTCCAGGTGGGGAACTGCCTGAGACCTGACTCACACCCTGGGAGGTCGGATGCTTAGCCTGGTGGCGTGTGGAGGGCGGGAGGGCGACTCGGAGCTCGCGGCACCTGGGGAGGCCCCAAAGCCTGTTACCCCGAAGAAGCTCCTCCCCTCGGGCGGAGACGGCGCGGAGGAGTCACCGCCCCGGCCCCGCCGCCGGGACAGTACCCCGAGGCCGCGGCCGAAGCGCCGAGTTCTCCCGCCGTCTGTCGCGGAGCATGGGCTGCTGACAGCCATGGAGGGCTACCGGGGCTTCCTGGGGCTGCTGGTGTCCGCGCTGCTCGTGGGCTTCTTGTCGGTGATCTTCGTGCTCGTCTGGGTCCTGCACTACCGAGAGGGGCTTGGCTGGGACGGCGGCGCGCTCGAGTTTAACTGGCACCCGGTGCTCGCGGTGACCGGCTTCGTCTTCATCCAGGGCATCGGTACTGGGGCCCTCGAGGGCGGTGGCGGGGTCACTGCGCGGTGGGGACCGGGACGCCATCTAGGATTGCGAGAAATCTACGAAACTAGACAGGGCCTGCGCGGTTAGGGTCTCGGAACCGATGCTTTGGCGAGGCCTGCCCTTGAACTTGAGGTTTCAGAGGCAGAGAGCAAGGTGGGGAGCGCCGGTGCCCGCTCAGCATCCTCAGCGGGAGCCAGAGGAGTCCTTTCCTCCACCCTCTCCCCTTGTCCTCTCCTCCCGAGCACCGGGCGCCTCCAGCACTCCCCGCTGCTGCCTGGCTTCGCTCCACTTGTTGATGTGGCGAAAGTTCCCTGGCGGAGTTTCCTTGGAGTTTCCTTAGGGCCCGCAGCCCAATCTGGGTGGGAGATGCGAGCAGGGCTTGTCCTTGAGGGATGGCTGGTCGCCCCGGGTCCGGTTTGCCGCCGCCGGTGTGTGTGTGTGTGTGTGTATGTGTTTGTGTGTGTGTTGTTGTTGTTGTGCAATGCCACTTGACTGTCATATTCAGGCAATGCGGCACAACACCAGTTCACTTTTCCAATGCACTAAGAATGCATTCAGAAAAGCAAAGTCATTGTGCTGGGCTTGGTTCGCAGAAACTTTGACTTTCCAGCGGGCTGGAACCTCCTGCCTGGCCTCTACACAGGCCACCTCTTCATCAAAATTGAAAGTCCCACAAACAAGCAAACACAAAAAAAATGCTGGCTTCGTTCCTAGACAAAAATGTCTCTCTCTGTGTGATCGCACCATCGGTCCCCACTCCCCTCCCCTCCCCCCCCCCCCCCCGCACACCTTAAACCTGCTCTACAGCCTCCAGCAAGCATGGCCAACCTTCTACAGAAATATGAGGGAGGGTCTTACGCTCAGCCTACCGAGGCTTCTCCGGTGTGAGGTGGGCGTCCAAGCCATTTCGTTGCACAGTTCCCAGCTGTTTGTCACTACCCTAAATTGAGGAAAACATATCCAAGTTCCAAAGTTCCAGCCACAAGAAGCGCTCTTTCCTTCGTGGTGGAGCTCTTCAGTTTGGCCAGAGCTGCTAATACCTTCTGTTTAATCAAGCAGTCCCAAACATCATCTCAGTGGTTTGGGCTGTGTCCTGTAGTTGAGGATGAGGAAAACTCAGATCATAGCACATGTTACCTGACTTTCCCAAGAGAAGACAGACACAAAGGTTCTAACACTATTGAGCGTCTGCTGTGTCCCCACTAGATGCATTATTAGACATGGAGGTGATGATGCCCCCAGGGAAACAGAAGCTCTTTCAGCACCTTGTTTTCAACGATTTCCCCTCAACACTTTTCACTTATGCTTTTTTGGCAGCATGCCTGTTTTTTGAAAAGTGGTCAATTTAGGAAGCCAAAACTTCCTCTAAAATATACTTTGAGACTCTCCATTCATGTTGGGATCCATTTTACTTTTACTAAAAGGATTTCTGTTTTCTCTAAACTTTGAACATAATCTGTTACTTACTTTGGAGCAATGTGTGTATATGGAAATCCTGGAAACTTCCATCTGCTACTCTTAGGCAAAGCTCTTCAAAGCTTAGTCAGTCTGTTAGTGCTGGTGTCCCGAGGTTTGTCAACATTATCAGTCCTTTTTACGAGGATCCCAGGTTCACTGCACATTTTAGTCACATGATTCAGTTAAGGAGCCTAAACTAGCCTTTTCATACTGGTGAGAACAGTTCTCACTAGTTCTTCCATATATTGGCCCACGAATACTCTTTAGCCCAGCAGTAGAAAGGTTCCAATGGAAGGAGCAAACACAGATGCTCTTCTGTTTAGAATGGTCTTGCATCCCCAGTAAATCCATCGCAAGTTGCAAGCTGAGAATGTATTTACTACACCCAACTCATGGCTTAGCGACTGTACACTACAGAGTGTCTTGTGATTGAGTGGCTGGCTGTTTGCCACTACCTAGATCAAAATCAGATTAGGTAGATCAAAACTTAAAGTACAGTATCTACAGAGTCCACAGGGCTTTCACGCCACTGTGAAGTCAGAAAAACTGTTGACCATCCTAAACCCTCTGGAGACACCTGAAGCTGACTTTAGAGGCTATGAGATAAACATGGGTCAAAGATTATCCATGTTGTCCAGGGCATTTTACTGCCTCGGGATAGACATTTTATGCTGTAAGATGTTACATTTCTAGAAAAGAATGTGATGTGAGTTATTCTATGATTCTTAGGCTCTTGGAGATGATGCTTGATGGCTAGTACACAGTCACTATGCTAAGTTTAAAATATTTTACATATGCATCAAGCAAACAGTAAATAGTATTTGAAACTGTTGAGAATAAAGATGGGTCCTTTGGAACCTTTATGAATGGAGTAAGCTGAAGGAGGAAATCACAAAGAGGGGGCTGGAGAGATGGCTCAGCTGTTAAGAGCACTGGCTGCTCTTACAAAGGACCTGGGCTCAATTCCCAACCCCCACGTGATGACTCCCAACCATCCATAACTCCAGTTACAGGGGTTCCTAGTCCTCTTCTGACCTCCATGGGTTTCAGGCATGCATGTGATACACATACATACATGCAGGCAAAATACACATAAAGTAATTTCTTTTTAAAGCCACAAGGTAAATCTCTCCCCTCCGGCCCCTACCAAATATACTTTGGGAAATGTATGTGTTCCTAAAGTATAACAGATTATGGGAGTTCTGAAATGAACATAACACCTCTTATGGTGTCCAGCCTGGCCTTGAGTTTCTGTGCTTAAGGGATGGTTTTGTTGGAGTACTGCAAGTCCAGGGACTACAGATGTGTGCCACTGACTACAGATGTGTGCCACCGACTGCAGGCCGTGCCGCCAACTACAGGTGCGTGCCGTTGGCGCCACCGACTGCAGGTGTGCGCCACCGACTACAGATGTGTGCCACTGACTGCAGGTGCGCACCACCGACTGTAGGTGTGTGCCACTATTCTATGCTAAATAAAGTCTCCAACTAATGGGAAATCTAGTCAGTTCTGGCATGAATGAGGAAGAGTTTAGAAGAGGCTTTGTATGCTCTAAAATAAATACTTCCTATGAAATAAATATACTGCAGGGAAACCAGAGAAATGGCCATTGTAAAGGAGGCCACAATGGAAAGGGCTCCATGATAGCTAACCTTTTTAAAGGTTCAGCATGCTGGAATGGATTCTTCAGTGAAAAGTGGAAAATTCAGTTGTCTACATTAGTGAAAAGAAGTCTTGGTAATTCTATACTCCTTCCTTTCTGTACATGCAACTGCTTTTGTGACAGAAGCTGAAGGGAGAGAAATTAAATAGGGTAATAATCTCAGGTTGGTTTTGTGAGAAAATTAAACTACATGTTAGTAGCATTTAAAAGGCTAACAGAAAGAGAGAGCAGTTACTAAAGGCAGTTGGAATAGCCTCATAATGCAGCTGTAAGTGACCAAATTCCAAGATCACTTAAATATATTTGAAAAAGGCTCATAGACCAAACCCTAGCAAAGAAGATAATGGAGAGGGTCCCCAGATGACTTCTCCAAGAGCCTTGGGGAAGTAGCCTTGATAACAAAGTCTCCCAGCTTCTGGGAACTGGGGGTTTTACAGAGTGTCAAGGGACAGTCCAGAGCACCTTGAAACATGTTTTTGGTACAAAACCCACCTTTGAATCACTTAATGATGGAACTGATAGAGCACTTTAAATACAATTATTTTGCTCCTGCTGGATCCTTAGTACCTAGAAGTGCATGATAGGTCAGTAATTTTTTCCCGTTATTTTCTCTCCTCTGTGGTATTAGTGAATCCAGGACCTTGTCCATGCTGGGCAAATACTCTACTACAGAGTTGTGTTCCAAGCCTCTGTCCCCTGTTTATTAGAAGTATCTTTTATTTTTTTTCTGTGCTGGGAACAAATCCAGGCCTATTTTACACATGCCACTCAAGTGCTTTGCCACTGAGCTATACGCCTGGCAATAAATAACTGTTGAGTGAGTTATTCCTGTCTCATCATTAACTTGTTAGTAACAAAATGCAATTTTACAGCCACTCATTTGTAATGATGATAATAATAATAACAGCATCTGAAGCAAAGGCACCATCCCGTTGCCCAGTCATTGTTCTGCAGTTTAGAAATGCCACTTAGCCAAAGCCAGGGAAGGAAGGAGCCCCGCCTTAATGGAAAAGCATCTTTGTTCCCAAGCTTCTTGGTTGATAGCCTGTGACTCCCTGAGCACCTTCTGCACCTAGTCTCACCTGGCCTACACAACTGCCCAGCACTCCACACCAACCCACACACTTCCCACTGCTAATTTCTTCCCCCGTTGGCTTAGCTCCAATGTTTTATATCCTTAAAAACCACACCATTTGGGGCTGGATGGATGGCTCAGTGGACCTGGGTTCAGATCCCAGCACCCATGCGGCCATTCACAGCCATCTGTAACTCCAGTTTCACAGGGTCCAACACCCTGTTCTGGCCTCTGAGCGTAGCAGACACATATGCAGTATACATACATACATGCAGGTAAAGCACTTATACACATAAAGCAATTAATGAACTAAGTAAATAAGCCCTAGACACAAAACCCTGACACCCTTGACTCTATTCTGGGTACCTTTCCATAGAACTTGAAATGTGCATCAATACGGCAGTCTATGATTCCTTTCCCCTCCTCTTTCTAGAACCTTCTCCAGTCAATCATTTCATCTTTCTGCTACACAAGAGACCTGTGGAGCCACCACTCCAAGGAGCCAGCTAGTTCAGCGGGACACAGGGAAGGAGCCAGAGATTACAGCACTTCTCAACAGGCACCCCGGGGACAACAGTCCATGTAGCTGCTATCCACAGACTTCCTTAGTCATCCCCACACTCCTTTTCCTGGGTGACAGACAGCTCAGATACCAGGAGAGCATACATACTGTGCTGACAGGATCAGATCTTAAACACCTCACACCCCACAGGACCCAGCATCTTCTAGGATGCCCTATAGACCCGGGATCCCTGTAAGGGTTTTATGGTGTTTGAAAAATGAC